GATTAAACATTTCCTTTTCCATAGTTTTGTTTTGACTCCTCGTTCTGAACGTCAAAAATAAATCGACTCACAGGGCTTTGAATACAGGTGGAACACAATAAATGGTACTACCGATAGCATCGACTATTTCCAATTATCCCAATATCGATGTTCTGTTAACTTGCGTTGGAATAAAGGGTGACAATTGAGAATGTATCAACGGGCGTCTTCACGTGCAGGAAAATCTCGTTCGCGTGACGACGCATGCGATATCCCGTGCGTGTAGACCGATAAAAATACGATGCTTAAGGCCCCGCCAGATAGAAGTTGTTTTCTTCGTGACAGGGTTGCTTTTGACTAATAAAACGCACAGAACATGACGAGACGGCACAATGAAAACATTGCCACAAATGAAACGGCTCAATTTGGTTGGTCAAAAATTAGCTGGTTTAAGTTCGTTCCACATATTTTTATTGTTGTTTTTGTTTTGCCGCATATGTGTGCGTCAAAAGTTGAGTCTTCTATTCGAAATCACAGAGTTAAGTTGGATGTCAGTCAAAAGCTTCCCTGAGACGCAGAAAAGAAGTTATATCTGGCGGCAAGGCGAATATATACAAGATTGTGTTGTCCAATCAGCTGATTTCTTCTTCTTTCCTTCGCCTTACATGTATTTTGTTTTTGCTTTTACTGATTTGACAGCATGCCCCTGAATATCACGGTGCTGCGAATAAAGATGGCGCCGTCAGTGGTACCGCTACTTTGGTTTTGCCGTTTTTGACAGTTGTGGTAATCGACAAGGCGTTTAGATTATGTTGATAAAACCTTAATGGCGTTTCGTGCGGTAGTTTCGTTTTCGATGTGTTAAGAGCTTAAGTTAACGGTCCACAGCTGACAACAACAATTGCGTACAAAGAAGTCGCCGCGTGTAAATGAAACGGGAAAGACCGAAAGCGAATGTGAAAAATTGCGTCGATAAAAGTTTCCGTGTATAAACACGCAATAGAAACATCGATAGTTCCGAACATCGACTGTTTTTGAGCTCTAGTTTTAAGGGCAGAGTTGCTGTGTCTGACATTCTATTACTAAGCTGTCAGATTTCATTTGGTGGATTTATGCTGTTTGTTTTGATAAAGGATGCAGTCAATGTTTGTAATTTATTTTGTGACTAGCATTAAATAAATAATCATGGCAGTTGTTATTGACTTGGATCTGGTTTGCGTTGTTTGCCTTCAAAATGATAGTGCTGACTTGAAATCGGTATTCACCGATGATGATACAATAGTTTCAGAGTCAAACATGGGCATTGCCGAAAAAATATCATTTTGTTCGGAGCTAAATTTGCGAAATTTAAGCATTAAAACTTCAAACAAAATATGTAATCACTGCTTGGATGATTTAAACGCCGCTTGGCGCTTTCGTAAAAACTGCGAAACGGCTAATTCTCTTTTCCGTTCCATACAAGAAGAGGAGGACGTTGCGTCTTTGACTGATTATGAATTAGAATGTCCGAAAGGCCAGCTATCTACCAATTTAAAGCTTCGCCGCGAAATTCCCGCAATGAAATCGTATCTTAGCACTTCTCGAATAGATGAACAATCTGAAGATAATGTTAACGAAACCGATGGATTCAGCATTAGATGAACAATCTGAAGATAATGTTAACGAAACCGATGGATTCAGCATAGTCGAATATATTGATGAGGAAGATCAAAAGGATTTTGTTCAAAGTACAGATTATTTTGACTCTGTTAGAGAAGGAGAGTTAGAAGATGTCAATGATGCATTTAAAGACACCGATAAACAACGCGCCCTAGAGAAAAGATGTCGAATACCGTCAAAGTCAAGCTTTACACCGGATGACAATGATAATTCTCAAACACATGTAAAGGAAGAAATACTAGATGATGCTAACGATGAAGAAAATCCAATATTAATCGGTTATCAGGAGGAGAGTGATAACAAAAGTAATGAACTGATGTCACCTATGTTTAGCCCGGAAAGCTTTCCAGGTCATGATCGACGAGATTTATATGAAAAAGAGAATAGTGAAAATACTATTCATGGATTCCCGATGAAAAAAAAAATTAATACTAAAAAAATTACACCTTCTGAAATGAAACCTTATAGTGGGGTAAAATTGCCTTCACGTAAAGGCAAGTCATTACATTCATCAATGAAGATATGCGAGATATGCGGAAATATTTACAAATACCAGCACGCATTAAGCGCCCATATGCGCAGGCACAATAACGACCGCCAATTTGCCTGTGAACTTTGCGATAAAGCTTTTGTTTCGAACGTGGAGTTACGTCGTCATATGCGGGTTCATACTGGGCATAAACCGTATCCATGTTCATTTTGTGATAGACGGTTTTCAGATTTTGGGTCACGAAGCAAGCACGAGCGAACCCATACTGGTGAACGACCATATCGTTGCACAACATGCAATAAGTCATTTGCATATCCGCATGTCTTAACCGTGCACTTACGCACACATACTGGCGAAAAGAAATTCCAATGCACTCGCTGTGGCAGAGGATTCACAAAGAAAGCTTATCTATTGGCTCACTTGGAAAATCATGCTCGCTGCGAAAATATATCAATAATTGGAGAACTGAATGATAATGGGTCAGCGATGGCTAGGAAATCAGAGGTCCTAACTACTCACCAACAAGAGATTACAGCAATAAAAACAGTAGCTCTGGAAGAATGCATATTCACCACAGAATTAATGGACGACAGTGAGCAAAATATGTCCAATCAGATCCAAGTCATTGTTGAACAAGACGGCATCGATAACTCCGATTGGGTGTACGTTCGTAGTACAATAAATTTCCGATAAGTTCAAAAATTTCGTAATTTATAAATAAATCCTTTTAAAAATACAAAAAAGGTGCTCGTATTTTTGCCATTTTCAAGAAGTGCGGTAAATAATCATTTTCTTAATTAAACTGAAATAATCAACACGTTCTAAACGAACCAAAAAACTTGTTCGAGGGCATCATACATGTTTTGTATATTCTATTATATGTATATAATCAGATTTTTTCTTCTGGTTTTGCCAATAAAAATTAAAAGTAATACATAAATATCGTTAGTATCGACAGACCCTATCTCACACCAACGATAAAGGGAAAAAAGCCGAAACTCACTAAAGTAAAGAAAGTATTGCATAAAACGAAGTGGGGATGTATAATTTAACGAAATGCATCATAATCAATCGAAAACTGAATTCGGATTTTGGCTTTTTGTATTTCAGCGGCGATGTGAGATAGGGCCTTACTATATGCACACACGGCCCAGAAAATAAATAAAGAAAATAAATGTATTCTATCATTATTGATATGTACATATGTATATTAGCTCGTAACTTTTAATGATAACCACCCTATTGCTCATGATATCAAGAAGCTTTCCACTTAAAATAGCATAACAACTGCCGTGGAATAAACAAAGTTTAAACCAAATTCAAACCACAGTCCGGAAAAACTAGCCTTTAATAGAATCAAAGTTTATTGTTCTAAACGATTTAAATATCTCAAAATGCAAGTATTATCTTTCCACCTAGCAACAGATATGTATATGGATGTACAGTGTATGTATGTACACATACATAACATGTCAAAGATGAAGGTTTTTCGATGTTTAAAATTTATCTTGCCATTTTGTCAACATAGTTCAACATGCAGACGTACTATGTATGACCTGGATGCCAACTTATTGGATCAATTTATAATAAATTGAGAGAATTTCGAGTTAAGTTATAATTTATTTTATTAGGTGTACATTAGTGTAGATGTAAGCAAAAAAGTGGGAAGAAACTGCATAAAGTTTTCTATGTAGTAAAGAAATCAATAAAACTTGATCGGCTTAATTCGATGGGGTGTTGTCAACTTTTACAGAGCATAAGTCATACGTTAACGTGATTGATTATAAACCATATCATATCTTTTGCTGGTTTTAGACCTGTCCAACTCTCAAATAAGTGTATAGTTTATTAGTCTTCAAATGTTAGCCGTCCTGGACCGTGATTTTTCATATATCGCCTGTAAGATTTGTATCGTGGATTTTCAGCTAATTTCTTTTTCATTTCTTCCTCCTGTTCTTCTTGCCATATCTGGAATTTATCCTTTTGCCACAATTCCAGTTGCAAATACTCATTGATCTGATGGTCTTCTAATCCATTAAATTGATTCTCGCCCATCTTCATGTAACGGCGTATCAAATAGAGCTTTTCCTCTCGCCCGTATGGTTGTTTCCTTATGGTAAAATGCCAAAACCATTTTGCATGCCAAACTATAAAACGAAGCAGTGTGTATGGACATATCAGCAATTGTACCCACAGAACATCCCATATTGACGGTTTAGCATAGCCGCCCCTAACATCCATCTTTTCTTCAATTATTTTGCGGACAATGCGCTCGATCTCTTCACGTTGTTCAGACTTGGACATTCGATTTTTTCCTTTCCGAGTACTGATTTTCTCTATGTCTTCTTTTGCAATTTCTAACGCTTGATTCCGATACTTTGGGACAGTAGCCAAATATTTAATGGCGCTATCATAACGCTGCAATCCCGAGTAGTATTGAATGATAGATACAATCGTAAGAGTTACCACAATTACGATGCGTACATCAACTTTTGGTGCTACTCGACGTCTATAGTAGCGGTAGTAATGTGAATAGTATTCCTCCGGGTGATCCAACATATAATCATAATCCCGTCGAGACTCGTCATCTCGCAGTATTTCATATGCAGTAGCAATCGATTTAAACATTTCTTCAGCTTCCGCTTTAGCTTCAGCGCCTCGATGCATATCAGGGTGATGTTTTCGCGCTAGCAATCGATACGCTTTACCTATTTCCGCTTTAGTGGATTGGCGCGTTACACCTAAAACATCATAGCAATCCTCCCTGCCGCAGTAGATACCATCCAACAGACCCAAACATGCTGGTAGTGTCGCCAAGCTAATCCCAAGAAAGCAAATATACTGAGCGAAATGCATTATTACTTGACAATTTCTTAGAAATCCAAAAATTTATCAACGTAAGTGACCTCAATATCACAATGGGCCCTGAGCCTAAGTGTGTCTTATAGACGACCGCGACAACAAGTGACCTCAATAAACACCTGTGGCTGCATATGTCGTGCCACGTTCAAGTCAATTTTTTCACGCTCTTTAGCAATTTCGCGTCGCTTACTTAACCTGCTCCCGTAATGAAAGAACGATGATGCTGTTGTGAATGTTAAGCTCAGCTTCTTGATGAATTACAAACAGATTTTAAATGCTCCGCTAAGAGAGCGTCAAATCCGGCTGAAGTTTTGAAAGAAATTGATTTTAGATTATCTGCTACCAACAAAGGTTTCGTTCTCTGGCTCCAAAGGCACAGCTCCAACAATCTGTTTTCTACAATTTTTGTGCTCTCTCTTTTGGAGCAAATTCGCAAAAGACAACAAAAAAAAACAGCTGCTTAATGCTTTTTTATACGTACATTTGACATTTCTACGCACTCCTCGACGCGCACGTGCCCTAGAAATGGTAAAGAAACAATGGTCGCCATCATAAATCGTTCCGATCATGTTGCGATGTCAAGGAAAAGTTATGTTTCTTCTCTGTGCCACCGTGATCACGTTTTTATGCTATAATAAGCAATATAAATATATATTTTTTTTTTTTGTAATTTAAAGTTACTTCCTAATTCTTTATAAGAAGAATTAATTGGCCAGCAAAAAAGCTTAAAACGCCATCTCCAATTTTAAATTAAATTATTTAATTATAAATCAATTTCAATGTCCTTTAAAAAATTAGTGATAGATTTATATGCTTTGCCATTAGTATTTTGATGAAATTCAATTAATGATGAAGTATTTTTGAGTATTGGGCATTTATCACGTGAATTGTTATATTTGTTACATTTGAATAAATATATTTTAACTTAACATTTTATTAAATTTCGCAAAAACAATCGATAAAACTAGAATGGACACCGAAAAGTTATCGGTTAAATCTGAGATTATTTTATAATTACAGATTAACAAGGGACGAATTTTATATGGCTAATCTCTTGTTATAATTACAGATTAGGGTGTTAAGCTCGAAAATGAAATTTAGTTATTTACAAATAAAAAATTAACTCAGCGTTTATACGGCAAAGTTTACCATTTTGAAAATTGTTATTTGCAAATAATGCGTGCGTATAAACGTAGTATATGACTAAGAAAACTTAAAAATCTATTCTAAACTTAAAACTGTATTTTAACATGAATGAGTTTTAACTTGCGACTATGACTATTGGCCAAAGAATTTAATTTGAATATATATATATATATATATATATATATATAAACAGAAGCACACAAACACAAAAACATATTAGCAAATGTCAACAAAATGCAAAGAGAGTGCGGTGGAAATACTTTAACAGGATTTTAAGATTTCGAGGTCGAAATCTCAGATTTCAATGCAGTGGGAAAGTAAAGTTAGTACTGACGGTGCTGGCGAAAGCAGAGAAAAATAAAACAAAAACTCCTGCAAAATTTAGTTTTTGCAAGATCCCTTTCAGAGACGTCAAGTCTGCTCGTTCGTAGGCGAAGGAGGTGCGACGAATGCACTTTTCCCCTCTCTTTTCAACTCCTTCGCCGACGAACCGATCAGACTTAAAAGGCAGACTTACGTGCCTGAAACGGGTCTAACATAATAAATAACAATAATTTTGGCCAAAGGGGTCGATATTTTTTTTTTTTTGTAATCAAACAACGTCAAAATTAACTCCAAATGTTCAATGTGTACGATTGAGTTTTAGGAAAAGCTTTAGTTTAAATTTTCAGATACTTTAATGTTCAAACCTGATTTGAAAATAATTGAAGGTGAAAAGAAACTATAGAAGGCGATAAAAATTGCAAAACCATCGTTACATCGATTTTATCATCGAC